TGATTTTTTAATGTTGCGCAAAGATTGAACCTTGGATTTATACGGGTTTTGTTAAAGTATAAACTGCATTTTTATAAACAAATAGTTAAAATTCAATAACTTTGAGATAAATGGCCAATCTTGTCAATATGTACGTGTCGTAAAGTTTGGATAAGCGCTGGAAATACTATTAAAATGTCAAGTTTTAGTACTGAATTCAAAGAAAAGGTCTCTTTTATCCATTCATAATAACTTTAAAAAAATTTGTTTGTTAAGAAGTGTACCTTTAAATATATGCATACACGTTTATGTTAAAAGTAGAAAATATGTAAATGTACCTACATAAACTTTCCCATGAATACCATTAAATCATTGGTCTTGAAGAGAATCTATGTATGCATGTACTAAGAAAATATATGAGCAAATTAAAAAGTGGATACAATTTACAGGCGAAAAGTACAGTTTTTGCATAGATTTCGTACTGAAGGAAGAATTTCATTTCCCAACACTGGTGGTGCCTATTTATGTTTCCGATGTTTTTGGTCAGACGCTTCTTGCACAATTTGCAATAAGGAGTATACATTTAGATCTTGAAGCCATGGTCTGTATAACACATTTTTGAAGTTCTAGTGATTTAGAAATAGTTTCTGCCTATAAGTTGAATTGAATATAAAAAGCGTAGTAAAAATAGAATAAAGTGTAGTGGGGTAGCAAATTTTGAAATTTTTTAAAAATCGTAGCAAATTTACTACGATCGTAGCAAAGTGCCAACGCTGGNCGCACCTCATCAGCTCCTCCCCACCGTACTTGAATAGCTCGGCTGGCAGGCCGTCAGCTCCAGCAGCTTTNGCCGTTGCTTTTCGACGTTGTTCATTTTTTCTTTAGAACCTCTTAAATGCTACAATCCGTACAATTTTCGTTTGGTGTTTTGATAAATAGCAGTAGTACCTTCTTCTTCTTCTTTATTGGCGCTGTAACCGCCTAAGCGATTTTGGCCGAGTCTAAAACAGCACGCCAGTCATTTCTCTTCTGTACACTCTGACACCAATTGGAAATGCCAAGTGAAGCCATGTCCTTCTCCACCTGGTTTTTCCAACGCAGAGGAGGCCTTCCTCTTCCTCTGTTACCAGCATCGCGGCCCGCGTTGAATATTTTCAGAGCAGGAGTGTTTCTGTCCATTTGAACGACATGGTCAAGCCAGCGGAGACGCCGTTTTTTAATTCGATGCACTATGTCTATATCGTTGTAAAGCTCACACAGCTCATCGCTAAATCGTCTGCGATATTCGCCATCACCAACGCGTAAAGGTCCGTAAATCTTTCGCAGAATCTTTCTCTCGAAAACTCCAAGAGCCGCCTCATCAAATGCTTTCATTGTCCATGCCTCCGCGCCATATACCAGCACAGGCATGATGAGTGACTTATAGAGTGTGATCTTTGTACGACGAGAGAGTCTTCCCAATTGCCTACTCAGCCCAAAGTAGCATTTGTTGGCAAGAGTGATTCTCCGTTGGATTTCAAGGCTGACATTATTATTGGTGTTAATGCTGGTTCCCAAATAAACGAAGTCGACTGCTTTTTCAAACTTGTAACTGTCAACATTGATGTGTGTGCCAAGACGCATATGCTCTGACTGTTTGTGTGATGAGAGGATATACTTCGTTTTGTCCTCGTTCACCACCAGACCTATTCGCGTTGCTTCTCTATCCAATCCCGAGAAGGCAGAACAGACGCTTTGAAATCGACAAATAGAGGGTGTGTGTCGATCCTATTCTCCCGGGTCTTTTCCAAGAATTGGCGTATTGTGAATACCTGATCTATGGTGGATTTTCCAGGCCTAATGCCACAATGATAAGGTCCAATCAGTTCGTTGACGGTGGGCTTCAGCCTTTCACACAATACACTCGATAAGACCTTATAATCTGTGCTTAGAAGGCTGATTCCGCGCGTTGGCGCGAATGGCGGGGTCGCTTCTCTTGTGAATTGGGCAGAACACACTTAAATTCCAGTCGTCGGGCATGTGTTCATCTGCCCATATTCTGCATACGAGCTGATGCACGCACCTCATCAGCTCCTCCCCACCGTACTTGAATAGCTCGGCTGGCAGGCCGTCAGCTCCAGCAGCTTTGTTGTTTTTCAGCCGCGTAATCGCTATTCGTACCTCGTCATAGTCAGGCGGAAGACCGCTACTCCATTATCATCGACTGGGGCTCGGGTTCGTCTTCTCCACTACTTTCAGCGCTGCTACCATTCAGTAGGTTGTAAAATTGTTCCCTCCACAATTTAAGTACATTCTGGACATCGGTCACAAGGTCTGCATTGTTGTTCTTACAGGAGTTCTCCCCGGTCTTGAAACCTTCCGTAAGTCGCCTAACCCTCTGATACAATTTTCGAGCGTTCTTCATGTCAGCCGTCATCTCAAGCTCTTCGCACTCACGTATTTCGGCCTCTCTCTTCTTATTGCGGCAAATACGTCTCGCTTCCTTCTTCAGTTCCCTATAACGGTCCCACATGGCTCGCGTTGCGCCCGATCGCAGCGTGGCCCTGTAGGCGGCATCTTTTTTCTCTGCGGCTTCTTGACATTCCTCATCGTACCAGTTGTTCTTTCGGGCTCGCTGAAATCCAACTACTTCTTCGGCGGCGGTACTTAATGATCGGGAAATGTGGTTCCACTGNTCTTGACATTCCTCATCGTACCACTTTCGGGCTCGCTGAAATCCAACTACTTCTTCGGCGGCGGTACTTAATGATCGGGAAATGTGGTTCCACTGCTCGCGTACGTCGGATTGTTGAAGAGTGCTCTCAGAGAGCAGGTGTGTGAGTCGAGTGGCGAATAAATTGGCCGTCTGTTGCGATTGCTGCTTTCCGACGGTAAGGTTTCCTTGCATTGTTGGGCGCACATTTTTTGCTGCACAGAGTCGGGTGCGTATCTTGGCTACAACAAGATAGTGGTCCGAGTCGATGTTTGGCCCTCGGAGTGTACGTACGTCCAAAACGCTTGAAGCATNTGCCTTCCGTCTAACACAACATGATCGATTTGGTTTCTCGTTTTTCGATCTGGAGACAGCCATATACCTTGGTGATGTTCTTATGCTGGAACCTAGTACTACATGTTACTAAGTTTTGGGCCCCGGTGAAGTCGATCAGCCTCAGTCCGTTATCGGAATCTTCGTCGTGGAGGCTGAATTTTCCGACAGTAGCGCCAAAGATCCCTTCCTTGCCATCGTGTCGGGGGCAGCGCTCATATGTTCGTTCCAAGCGCTCCAAGAAGAGATCCTTGGACGCCTCGCCCTTCTCTTCCGTCGGGACATGGGCGCAGATGAGCGAGATGTTGAAGAATCTAGCTTTGGTGCGGATTGTGGCTAGACGTTCGTCCACCGGGGTGAACGCCAGTACTCGGCGACGGAGTCCCTCTCCTACCACGAATCCAACACCGAATTTGGACTCCTTTGCGTGGCAACTCTAGTAGACGTCGCAAGGCTTCACACTTACTTTTCCTTGCCCCATTCATCGCATTTCTTTGATGGCGGTGATATCAGCCGTTGTCTTTCCGAGGACATCAGCCAGCCGGGCAGAGACCTTCCTCATTAAGGGTCCGGATATTCCAGGTGCATACGCTCAAATCATAGTCCTTTATGCGTTTGCCGTGATCGTCCCCAAAAAAAGGGGGTCTCATCCGAGGCTTGTTGGAATTTTTCATTGGGCGGGGTTTTAGCGTGGCGGGAACAAAACCCAGCGCAGGCGAAGTTTTACGCCTTCTCACTTTAGTTCGCTCCCAAACGGGTGTTTAGTTGTTACTCAGAGGATACGTGGATATAAATATCTGGACGTTGTGAGCTGCGATTTGAACGGTACGCACAAGAATCGCTTCTGGCCCCTCCCAGGTGAATGGCAGTCAAAAGTTTTCCACTTCTGATCACGGAACCATCCACCAGCAGTAGTACCTAACGTCTTTTAATAAGCAAACAAACATTTCCTCAAAAATCGAAAATTTTTGTCCTAATTTTTGGCTTTGAGAGTATCTATAATTTGTACATAAAATTTAATTCGAACTCAAATTATTCTCAACTCTATGAAAAATTAATGAATCTCTTGACTATTATCTTGATACAGAATTTTTCGATCAATTATGTCAAGGCGTACATTCAACTACATATATCGCGAAAATTATACGAATAAGTAAGTGAAAAAACTCATTCAAGAAACAACCAGAAATCTTAAAAGTTTTAGAATTTAAGAGGTTCTAAAGAAAAAATTAAAATAATTTGTTTTCTCCTAAGAAACAAATAAATACCAAACGAAACTTTTATGGAAAATAGAACGCAGTATGTAAATGGCCTTTTTCTGAAAAAAAATTTCTTTTTGTTTTTTTTCAAAAAATCGTATTATTGTTATCGTTTATCGAAATTTTTCACTTTTATTTATAAATAAATTAAAAAACAACGGGGACAAATAATCTTAGGAGCAACCAAATAGCTTACAAATTACGGAAACCATAAGGTTTATAAAAAAATTTGCCAAAAAATTATTACTAATTGACAAAAACTTAAAAAATCCGTAAAATATGCAAAAGTCATGCTATGAAAATTATAAAAAATATCTGTTCATTTATTTTTGAAGTAGAACAACATATTTTAAACTGAACCCGATTCTCGATATACCATCCTGCATGATTTGAAATGGATCCAGTCAAATACAATTTTTTGAATTATTGAAAAATTATAATTTTATGTTCATTACTTCATAAAGGCAGGTGTTAATTTCTTTTGTAAATTTTCAAAAAGTCAATTTAAGTTTTAAAGTCGACTATCAGAGGGGATTAATCGGCTTTAAGAATCGAAAACCTGAAAGTCGCTTCTGAAGCATAGAATCGATTCTGCGTGCGCATTTTCCATCCCTAGGTGCCATTAAACTTCCCACTGACTTATAGGCAAATTTTACTAATTTGCGAACAAATTTCGTAACTTGCCCAATTTTCTAAAGTATGCCCACTAGGAAAAATATGGGAGCTTTAATAATTACCTCTCATTTCGTTTGTTTGATCTGTTTCACAACCCTCGTCTGTACTAGTACTGCACTGTGTGGCCATTTTTGTTGACTTCAGTCTGGATGCACACTTTTCGTTACAAAATTTCCTGTAAATATTTTCGAAATTAGATGCATTTTAAAAATACAACTTAAATGTTTTATTTCTAAGGATATGTACAGTATACAGTCCGACCGATTAATCGGCCGATGCCGAGGCTAGTATAGGCCCAAAAAGAATCGGCATGGGCCGTTTTTGGCCGATTCTTGAATGAGGTTATGTTATTTAGTTATTTTATTATGTTTTTCTTTTGTTGTTATAAAAGTTTATAAAAGCATTTGTTCTTGAAATGAATTTAATTCAGGATTTAATCTACCGAAGCATCGGCCGATTCTTTGCCGATTAAATCCTGAATATAATTTCATTTCAAGAACAAATGCTTTTATAAATTTTTATAGTAACAAAAGAAAAACATAAACAAATAACTAAATAACATAACCTCATTCAAGAATCGGCCAAAAACGGCCGATGCCGATTCTTTTTGGGCCTATACTGGCCTCGGCATCGGCCGATTAATCGGTCGGACTCTAGTGCAGTATACGGTGTAACTTATCCAAGAATTTGTTATAGATAATTTGTGTGATCAAATGTGGTAAAAAAAATCATCATCTCTGTTCCACACGAACCCGCGGCATCACATGGGTGCCCAAACCAGTCACGACAGCGTTCCCCATCCTGGAGATCTGGGTAGTATAGAATGAAAATCGGAACGTATTAGATCCTAAATACGTGTCCACTTCTTCCTGTGCGAAACAGTTCATACTCTATTTTCAGGCACAAATGGACAAAAGTGTCAAACTGAAAACCTTCTGGCATGGCGTTCGCATGTTGCATGAACGCATTCTATGTTTTTGGATAAACGTAATTGACGCGAAATTTATAACTAAGAGGTTTTCGGTACTTGATTGATAAATTGAAGAAAATTGACTACTCTGTATCTTTGCTCTTAGGTAAGCATGCAGTAAGGCTGAATATCATCGATGACCATGAATAACTACCCTGCAGAAAAAAATATCAATTGATTGAAATAACCAACTTTTAGTTAGCTTTTTTGCGGGATTTCGATAAATAACTAACTTTTAATTAGCTATGACAAAACTAACTTTAAGTTAGTTGTAAAGTTGTGCAGGAGTCATGCAGACGTTAACGGAAGTTTGGTTTCTTTATAAGCTTGTATTTAAATATCCTCATACAAAAATTACTTTCAATACACATGTAAGCAAATAGGCAAATATGTAATGTNACGGAAGCTTGGTTTCTTTATAAGCTTGTATTTAAATATCCTCATACAAAAATTACTTTCAATACACATGTAAGCAAATAGGCAAATATGTAATGTTAAATAAAATAAGTAAATGAATAAAAATATAAAAAATTAAAAAATTAAAAAATATTTTTTTTTTTTTTAATTGATAGCTTATGTCCAAAAGTAGTTAGCTATAAGTTAGTTAACATCTAATGCAGAGGAAACCAGTTCTCACTATTTTTAAGCCATCGTCCTTCAAAAGTAGCTAGTTACGGCCAACGGAAATAGTTAGTAAATAGTTACCACTAGTCGACTGCTAGTTAGTTAATAGTTAGCTACAAACTAGTTCCATTTTCTGCAGGGAAGTTTAAAAAGGCCATCAAAACCCTAAGAATACAATTCTGAACGCATGAAAATCATTTTGTGAAGTTGACTCTAAGCTTCCAATACAAATGAATATATATCAAGGCAAGCAACAAAAGCATTCAAGTATGTTTATTAAGTGCAAGTAACACAAAAACTTTACAAAAAAGAATTGCATTCAATGCAGAATGCGAAGTTTCAGAAAAATATTTAGGAAAATATTTAGTCTTTTCTACGGTTTATATTATTACTGCAACTGATTTTAGTAAGTCTTTCGTTTTTAATAAACACCACGCCTTGTATGAAGTGGAACAAGATGAGTGTATTTTCATCCACAAACATTTAAATTTTCAAGTATACATAGTGGTATTTCGACAGAATTTGGCGCAGTGCCGTATTTTGACAAACTTGTATCAAAAATGTCGATGTAGTACGAATGTACTTTTGAGATTCCAAATATACCAAAAAAGTACAATTGTACCATCAATGTCATCACTGGTCTGTATTAGACTTAGCAGCTTGATATATGAAAGGTCCTCAAAAATTGCTCTAGTCTCTGGTCGTTCGCTGGGATTGATACCCGCCACATAAAAACGAATTGCAATGAAGAAATAAGCCCCTGATGTGATGACGACGATGACGGATTATGCACGCCCTTCAGTGTTTTGGATACCCACACACCTCTATGCCGCAAAAAATCTGCGCCCAACCTTATGGTCTGATTATGGCAACTTAACGTAACTTACGGCTCTCTTAAAAATTCTGTTAAATGGGTGTTGCTTATAATTGAACAGCCGAAACTTAACATAACTTAATGCCACGTCGAAATCTGTTTCATTTCGATTCTCTAAGTTCTACGTTCCGTTAAGTTAAGTTAAGTTGCCATAATCAGGCTTTACAAGGAAAACTCAACGTCGGAAAGCTGAAATCATAATAGATACCGCCATATTCGCCACTCGACTCTAGCACCTGTGCCCTGTAAGTACCTTCAACAAACCGATATGCAGTGTTCACAATGTTTTTCAAGTTGCATTTTTGTTTGTAACTTTGCTATAAAAATATTCAAGCTTTAACTATGACTATATAAATCACAGTTTCGAACGTAAAAATTTTGCACTTGCTTATGGAGTTCTGCCTGAATTAGAGCGTGTATAAACAGCAGAGCTGTGTAATGATTGAATCAATTGAGTGTGCATTCTCATTTTTTTCGTTTCAAAAATGTGATTGTTTGATTTAAAAAATTTAACAACCACTCTTGAGATTGGTTACAAATTGTAAACACAAAATATGTAGAGTGTTATGGAATGGTTGAGACCCTTTCTCATAGAGAATGTGAATGCAAAAAAAACTCAATCATGTATGATTGTACGTTTATGGGAATGCAATCTGTCATTATCATTCAGTACTAATACTATTTGTTGTATCAGGGTTGAAATTTTTGTACTCAAAATGTGAAATCTGAAGATTGCCATCTCCCTTAAAATAACTAAAAAAAATAAATATTTGGTGCTGAAATATTTTTCTAAGTGTTTGGCCGAGCTTCTCCTCAAACTTGAGGCATGAGGTCTGTTGTTGTCACACAAATGGAGACACTTACATATTTAAGGCTGACACCGAACGCCAAATGATTATATAAGAAGTGTTTTCAAGGCGGAAATATCCTCGAAGGTTTGTCATTGCGTGCCGAAGGACTACTGCTATTTTAGGTTATGATCTGACCAGGGTTCTGTGGAGTGGAAGTACGCACATGTATGTATACATTATTCCCTTATTTGTTCTCAAAATGCGTGAAAGCTATAGTACGCTTGCAAACAATTAATAACTTTTTGTGATAAATAGTTTTANTGTTTTCAAGGCGGAAATATCCTCGAAGGTTTGTCATTGCGTGCCGAAGGACTACTGCTATTTTAGGTTATGATCTGACCAGGGTTCTGTGGAGTGGAAGTACGCACATGTATGTATACATTATTCCCTTATTTGTTCTCAAAATGCGTGAAAGCTATAGTACGCTTGCAAACAATTAATAACTTTTTGTGATAAATAGTTTTACAAATGTATTAGGACTTCAAATTTGTGTTTTAGTAAAGTATCAATTAAATAAATTATTATTGTAAATTATTATTATAATAAATAGATATAAAAATGTTTATATTTGGCAACTCTTAGAGTTTTCTTTAATTGTAACATATGACAGATGTAAACAAAATAAAAAAATTATTGTAATTTTACAAATTTAAAGAAAACGGGCGTTCTTTGCAAAAAAATATAGCTAGGGATCGGATTGCGCATATTTTTCTTACAATACCAAGTGCCTCTAAGAAGTGTTAAACCACTAAATACCTTAAAAAATGCCTTCAAAAATTCGAACGAGAGCGAAGTGCCAGTGTTCAATTGTGATCGAAATTGCAGGCAAAATTTGTGCGTTTGTAATTAATGTTTTATTTGAAGAAATGTTGCCCCTTGTCTTTAAAAATAAGCAAACCAAGACCCCCGCTTCCCACTGGTGGTTACATAATACTTGAACAGCCCCTTAATTAAAATGTGCTTGTTTTGTGCACGCACGGCCAGTTAAACAGGCATGTCTGAATCGATTTCCTTCATCATTCTTAGCAATTTGATGTGAATTTTTATTGTTATACCTTGCAAACAGACATTTTAGGAACTAAATATGTTCTATAATCTCTGTACACAAGCGCACTTATTTTTAATAGTTTCCAGTTTATGTAATATTGATCAAAACAGCTTTTATTTATTTTATGTATTATGTGATTTTTGGAAGTGTCGAATACAAAAAAGTGCTGTGACTGGGTTTATGTAATTTAAAACTGTATTGATGATTGCTAATAATAATAGAAAGGCGCTTACACATCGATGGTCCTCTGCAATAACGACACAACTCAAAATTTCATATATTTCAGTAGAGCCAATTAAAGACTTTTTGTTTCGTAATTTAGCAATAATATTATAATATCATATTGTAAGCTTTCAAATTATAAGATAGTCCCAAATTTTCACAAAAGAAAAAAGTGATTTTCTTCAAAACTTTTTTGGATGACATCTTGACTGAACTTACTAATTCGGAATTTCTACTATTACTTATAGAGTAGGCTATTCATAAAGTCTGGGTTATGAAATAAAAATTGTTTTATTATAAGTTCCATAAATATAAGGAGACTTTTATTGTTTCATTTATTTTTTGCGCATAAACTTGTATCTTGAACTTCTTTTTCCAAAAAGTGAGGATGTCAAAATTTTAATAGATATCGGATGTACGGTAATTTTCCAAAGAGATATCCTTATAGATAAGTTCATGAAAATTATTCCAAACGAAAACTTAAAATTGATNGTTTTATTATAAGTTCCATAAATATAAGGAGACTTTTATTGTTTCATTTATTTTTTGCGCATAAACTTGTATCTTGAACTTCTTTTTCCAAAAAGTGAGGATGTC